AGCCACCTTGCGGAGGGCATGTTCGAAGCCTGTTTGAAGGATAGTGCAGTCCAGCTGCAGATTTTATTCATGAGGCAGGTAGTGGGGACGGCACGGCCATCCCACAGGCTGTTGTATGCGGAGCTGGCTGAACTCCCCTTACAATATTACGTGGTGAAGCAGATCCTCCGTTTCTGGAACCGCCTTCAAAAGCAAGTGGGATCCATTGCTCATGCAGTTTTACGGCAGGAGATAACCGATGCCCTGACCAACCCGGAATGGGAGGGTTGGGGAATCTCAATGTTACGACTGTTTTCCTTCTTGGAGTGCAACATTTGGAGCGGAATACCGCAAGAAGTCGTGGGGGTAAAGGAACGTGTTGACTGGTTGTTGAGTAGACCTCTACCAGAAGGAGCGATAATAACGGCATTAAGAGAGCGTTTGATGAGCGGCTGGGACCATACGCGTCTGACTGTCTTGCCAGAGGAGTACCCATCAGATGGGAAGCAACCGGGAGTGCAAATGGCGAAGTATAAGCACTGGATGGGGCTGCCCTTTTCGGGAGCCGCAGCCGTCATGTGGCCAACACATGCTAAGGTTTTCATTCCTCGTTTAGCACATCGTAAGCTAATGCAGTTTCGTTTATGTTGCTGGGCTTTGGAGGCGAACAGAGCACGAAGGGGCAAGTACCATGTCCCCAGGGGGCAGCGGTTTTGCCACTGTTGTGGTCCTAATAGCCGAATTGAGGATGAAAAACACGTGTTATTGGAATGCCCAGCCTATAATGATATTCGTGCTGAAGAGGGATTCGATCATCAACAGAGTATGTTGGAGGCCATGAAATGGGAACCAGCACGTCTGGCGAGGATGTTGGAACGTATGTGGGCTCACTGAAAGTCAATTACCCCCTTTGGACGCTAATCTGGGCTGATGTGCGGTGTTTTTCCTTTTCTCCGTGGCTTTTAGGCGTTGTAGTATTGCCCTTGGGCCCTCGGCTCGTATGGGTAGTCTTACAGGTATGGGGTCACGCACCCCCAACCATGTAACACACACACACACACACACACACACACACACACACACTCTGCCACATATGGT